TGCTTTATATGAGCAAAATGACAAGCCTTCCTCTGCCCTTGGTAAGTGTCTTCGGGTTTTCTGTTTGATTCGTTGCAATGTGCCATGCGCTAGTTTTGTACCAGAGACTATTCATATAAATCTGTATGAAACAGACACTGTCACCTTTTAATTTTCTGGGATTAGGTATCACTTCAATTCGTGGTGCATTCGACTTCTTTCTTTTCGATTAAATTTGATCTATTCAAGTGTCATGTACTTAACGTAAATCACTTGAAGGCAAAATGTACAAATATATAAATCACTTTCAAGGCTTGAGCCTCAGATGATACTATTTTCGTGGGTCACATGTATAACAAGCTTCTCTTTTTCAGGTTCATTCAACAAAAATTAGCAGTACTTCCATCTCGGAATATGAAAATTGCAAGCCGAATTGTCGGATCTTCAAATGCAATATGATGAGCTTTTGGCGACACACCAGCAGACCTGCAAGGAGGTACTCTTGAATTTACATTTTTTTTTTTGGTGGAATACTGTATAAACCCACTGGAAGTTTTAACAGCTTTACTAGAATCCAACCTCCCTAAAGGAGTCATGGTTATACTTTTTCTTGACAACTTCAAGCTTTGCCATAAACAAAAGAGATATGAAGATTTATTGTCGACAATTTTGCTTGCATCTGGTTCGTATACAGCAAAAGTTTATAAATGTAGGAAATAAGTGATATGTCAGTGCTGGTGTTTCATAGTCTACTCTCTCCTGCAATCTTTTCATCATATTATGTGATTTTCTTGTCATGAAAGAAGCCTATCCTACCCCATGCATTATTCATGAACAACTGCTACTATTCGATGAAGCTCTTTGGTAATAGATATATTAGCTGTTGTGATATAGTCTATATCGAGCATGTATGTTTCATCCAGTCAGTTCTACATAGCTCAAAGTTTTAAAACACGATATGATCATCATTCATGTTACTTATTTTTCTATATAAGAAATGAATAATATTGAAATGACAAGGAGCATTCTTTCTGTCTGCAAGCACGAACTGTTGATCATGTGTCAAGTTAGGAAATTTGGGATCTTGGGATGAAGATGGCAGAGGAATTATGCTTACTTACAATATAATGAAGTATGTTATATGAGGACTTTAATTATTTAGTTAGTAACTATAATAGGGAATTGTGGCAGAAAATTGGGACCCATTGAAAAAGAAGGTAATGGATGAAAGAGAAAAAGGGAAACAGATGCCATTTGCTGGGGAAAGAACTATTTTTGGAACACTACGTTTTATGGTTAACTGTGTTAGCATACTGTTTTGGCAGAGGCCATTGCCTGGGTCGAGGCTGATTCTCTCTCTCTCACAAATACACACACACAAAGAAGCAGATCATGCCAAATTAACAATATTGCTCCCCCTGTGAATAGAGAGAGAACTTACAGCAAGGTTGAAAATCAAGAAAATAGACTCTTCATTAACTTTAGCCAAACCATCCCTGCATCCGGGCAAGGCTTCTGAGTATATGAGAGGATACCAATTCATCTCTTGTGCTGCTTTTTCTATCCAATCTGCCGCTTGCATATCTGTTGTGCTTGACAGGATTATCCATTACCATGCTGTCCTTACAAAATAGTTCTCTTATCTTTTGTTACCACTTACCAGATGTTACTGTTTCACCGATAGCCTCACTTCAAGATGTTAGTTTCCTAAACTGATAACTACTCCAGAAGTTTCTATTGTTACTGCCTGCAGTATATGAGTAACTTACAGATTGTGTGGTAATGAAATATGTGGAAGTTGCTACTTACTTCGCCTGCCTTAAACAGATCTAATTTTATATCACAATAACTTTCTTATAGGTGGTTAGATGCTGCTATTCAAACATTTTAGATTCTTTATAGTTGCTCAAAATGTCCTGGTTACACCATGTTAGGTTTTAGTCACCGTATCCATTTTGCTTGGCAGTTGGAGGAAATAAAAATCCACAAGCCTTGGCAGTGACAGCAACTAGAGAAACGACTGACAGTGAATCCCCAAAAAATGGGCTCTGAAGTCTATGCTATAGGCGAAAACTTGCCATTCTCGGAGCTCCATACTCACATATGACTTGTTCTGCAACTTTGTGTCTTATTCTTCCTTATTTTGCCTTCCATTTGTAAGACTGTTTGTCATTATGGGTCTGCACTGAACAAGGATCGTGTTTCCTTATCTTCAATGATGTATGAAATTAGGAAATGCTCGAGGACTTTATAATTTGTTGCGATTGTCATCATTGTATACTATTCTGATTTCTGATCCATGTCATTCAATTTATTTGTCAACATTACTTTTTGGATTCAGTATCAGTCAGTTCTAAAAGTATTGCTGTCATGCACCTTCGGAGTCTATAAATGTAAAAGATTAATGCAATCATTCATCCCATAGGTGAGGATGGAAATAATATATAATTCACATTTGTTTTTTTTTTTTTTTGGTAGTGTCACTTGTCAGTGATGGTAAATATCAAAACACTTCGTGGATCAATGCTATCTTTAGCCATTCGAGAAAGACAACCTGAAATTTTCTGGGTTATATTGGTCGTAGGGAATGGTACCTACTAATTTTCAGAAGCGGGAAAATTTGATTAGAAGACTCACGTGGGGATGATATTGTTTTTAGGGTGTAGTGTGTAATAATTTTCAGAAGTACCAGTGGTAACTTTGAAAAGTAAAATTGACAATTTTAATAATTTAAACAAATTTGAATCTATAAAATACTTTAGAATAATTATTGTCTCCACACGGATCTTTAAAATGAAAAATTCTCTACTAGAAGTACAATGCTATTTTGGAATAACTGAAGTAAATTACCGTTTTGGCCGAAGAATGATTAATAATTTAATATAATTATTGAGACATTTTTTTGTCTTTCCTTTTATCCTTTTTATGGGATCACTGAGTCATTGACTAATCAAGCCCAACATACTATTTTTACAAGTTGGCTTCTTTTTCATTTTTTACCTTGGCAATATCAATCAAATTTTGGAAGCCATGTTGAGCCTAACTAATCTGAATTAAATTGAATTAGATCACATAGTTGTAAAGTATATTTTAGGAGAAAAGAGTGGAGAGAAAATGCAAAGTACATCTCACCTGTTTGGAAATTGGAATACAAAGGTGTGCTGTCATGTCAATGCATGGCGTAGTAATGATGCTGACAAATAAAATGTTAAAACCCCATTCAAATGAATGAGAATTGAAAAAAAATAGAAAAAATGATAATAAAACTTTTTTAAATTATCTAAATAATATATTAATTTTATAAAATGACATAATTCTCTTGAAATCTTAAAGGATATTTATGTCATTAAAAAATTATAAAAAATAACACTTTACCTTTTATTCAAATTAAAAAAATTTTACAATTTTTCATTTATAACTTTTGTTCATATATTAGTAACTTTCATTTTTAAATTTACAACAATGTAATAGCTATTTACAAGTCATGATCTATGAGTCCTGATATGTATTAGGTGTTAAAAATTTATAATTTTTTATTTATAATTTTTGTTCTTATATTAACAACTTTAATTTTTAAATTCACAATAATTTAATAATCATTCGCAACTTTGCATTTGCAAGTTTTGATATACATTAAGTGTTGAAAATTTATAACTTTTTATTCACAATTTTTGTTCATATATTAACAATTTTTGTTTCTAAATTCACAATAATTTAATAGTCATTTGCAACTCTGAATATGCAGGTTTTAATATGTATCAGATGTTAAAAATTTGTAATTTTTCATTCACAATTTTTGTTCGTAAATTAACAACTTTTGTTCCTAAATTTGTAATAATGCAACAAGAAATTGTAATTTATCAGTACTTTTGTAAATTGACTAAATCAACAAAAATAAATTACCACTCTAATCCAAAAAATAACAACTCTCATTAATTTAAATGAAAAAAAACTTTAAAAAGTGACAACTATTTAATATTTTGTTATCGGTTACATGGTCTATAATTTGCATCAAAATATTCTATAATCCTTTTAACAAAAATATATGAAGGTTGAATTTTCTAGTGTCATCCCAACATGTCAACTATTCTCATGCCAACCTGAAATAATAAAATAACCATTCATCAATATATTTATTTTCCAAACATCATAATCATAGATTTGTTATGTTTAATCTAACAACAACTATTTTTTTATATTTACAACTTTGTATTAGTCATTTACAACTTTGGTTTATACATTTACAATACAACTGAAAATGATATATCATTTATCATTTATCCATGAGTAAGCATCCATACCCACATACAACAGAAAAAATTAAAAAATGAAGACCTTAATCATGAAGAGAAAATGAAATCTCAATCATTTATGCACATTAACCCACATACTGCATAGTTAACAGAGGAACCCATGTATAGAAACTCAAAAAGAAATAAGACAAATGAGAAGGAGAAGGAGAAGAAAGAGAAGAAGGAAAAGGAGAAGGAGACAAAGACGGAAGAGAAAGAGATGAACTAAAAGAACAGGAGAACAAGTAGATGAAGCAAATGAAAGAACACACAAAAATGGCTCTACATTGAAGTTTGAGATTTTTGTTTTATCTAAAGGTAATTTGGTTATGTCCTTTAATTTCTTAATGACAGAAAAATTTTATAAGACTCTAAAGAAATTATGCTATTTCGTGAGATCAATCTGTCATTTATATAATTTAAATAAATTTTTTTATCATTTTTTTAAAGAAATACACTAAAAAATTAAAATAAGTATACTTAATGTAATCATAATTTAAATAAAATCATAGTGTAAATCTTATATAATACGAAAGAGTTATAATTACATTTTTTGTGTATTATAGAAGATTTTTGTGGTGAAATATTATGGAAGAGTTAAGTATTTAAAAAAGGGTTACCTCCAATTAATTTCAATAACAGTAGAATATGACTCATAAATTAATTAGAACTAATTAAATTATTGAAACTGTCAGATTATAAGTATTTTTTTTCTTTCATATGTAATATTTTATATTACCCAGAGAATGTGAAACTATAAGATTAAAAATAAATTTATTGATAAAATACTTTTTCAGATAAAATAACTAATGAAAAATTATTAATTTTTTTAAAAGTGACTTTTATATATAAATATATAACAAGATATATTATTATCACAATTGTATACAAAAATTCAAAAAATATTAAAAAATAATTATAGCCCTAAGCAAAACACAGGCTTTGATCGAGCTATGGTGAAAAAAGAAGTGGCGGATCCATTTTTCTTCGTTGACGTTGCATTCCACGCTTGGTCGAGCTCGCCGTCGGACGCCGTCCCTACCTGGTTGGAGAAGTTTCAAACCCTAGGGCTTCGTCTTCTTCCAAAATTCGGTGAGATTGATTTGTTCAATCTGGCTTTGAATGTTTGGCCAAGAAAAATTCTAGCTTTGAATTTGTTCCCCGCGTCATCTGTTACCTGCGTGTGTAGGACCGTTGCACCGTTATTTCTTTGTTTTAATTTTTTTCATTTTAATTTGGCTTTGAATCTGGTCGTATAATCGTTTGAATATTGGCGCTTTTGAATAAAGATTGAGTTTAATTTTTTTTTAAAAAAAAACTTTGATTACTAGTTTTTGCTTCAATGGTGTGTAATTGGCCATTATACTTCGCCCCTCTTCATTCTGATATCTAGCGACTTATGCCTGGGATTGTTTTGTTTCGCAATGCTGGATTTGTTGTGTATTGGCATTCTGTTTATTAATCTCTTTATATTATCATCAATTTAGAAGATTCTCAAGGCATTTGTGATGCATGACCTGGGATGACTTGGCTTGAGTTGTTTCTGCCAATTTATAAGCTTGAGTTTAAATTGACATTCTTCAGTGGCTTGAAGGAGTTGCCTGACTCAATTGGCTTACGAAGGCATCTTCATCGAAGTATGTGGAACAAAAATTGAACGTGCATTATATCAACCATGCATATTTCAAAGATTTCAGTAACATAGGTCCGCTTATGATGGTAGTTATGGTTTTTCCCCCCCATATAACTATACTTTTATAGCATGAATTTGGGGGCATGACGAAATGGAAGAAGTTCTTCATTGCATATCATGTGAATAACATGGAGAGTCATTGGATGTCTTGATCATTTCGAGCTTCCTTTTTTCCTTTTGTTCTGTTGAAGTGGTGTTTTACAATTTATATACGCTAATAATTAATTTTGTTCTGTTTTTATGAAAGTTCATTTATCATATTCATCGTTACTGTTGATATATATCCTATGTTTTTGTTTCTTGTTGCTTTGGTTTTGGAACGGTGGTGGAAACTTTGTTTTGAAATCTTATCTTAGAAGTCCCTCCTTTGTCCCACATCCACCTTCCAAGTGTGGTGAGGCTTTAGTAATTGGTTAACGAGATCAGAATTAGCCAGTTACTTCTATCATTTTTCAACTGCCATAGTTATGTTGTTCACATCCGTATCTATTTGTTCATGTCTGTGTTTTTTAGTGCAGGTTATCTTAAAGCTGGTACCTGGAATATAATGTCTGAGGATGCTAGCCCAATGTTGGTAGTTTATGATGACCCCTCAGACCAACGATCCCTATCTTTGGATGATACAAGCAGCGCAGAGGAATCACCAGATGAAACCAGGCTTTCGTTGGAGACTACTAATGATTCAATTCCATATATTGGGCAAAGATTTAGCACTCATGATTCTGCATATGAATTTTATAGTGAATTTGCCAAGCAGTGTGGGTTCTCAATTCGACGACACCGTACAGAGGGAAAAGATGGTGTTGGAAAAGGACTAACTAGACGCTATTTTGTTTGCCATCGTGCTGGTAACACTCCTGTCAAAACATCAACTGAAAGTAAACCTCAAAGGAATCGAAAATCTTCCCGATGTGGATGCCAGGCTTACATGCGTATAAGCAAGACAACAGAATTAGGTACTCCAGAATGGCGTGTTACTGGTTTTGCCAACCACCATAATCATGAACTTTTAGAGCCAAATCAAGTTCGATTTCTTCCTGCATACAGAACTATTTCTGATTCAGACAAAAGCCGAATCCTGATGTATGCTAAAACTGGGATTTCTGTCCATCAAATGATGCGGCTTATGGAGCTTGAGAAGTGTGTGGAACCTGGATATCTACCTTTTACTGAAAAGGATGTGAGGAATTTACTTCAGTCATTTAGGAAATTAGAACCAGAAGAGGAAAGTATAGATTTATTAAGAATGTGCAGAAATATTAAGGATAAAGACCCTAATTTCAAATTTGAGTTCACACTTGATTCAAACAACTGTTTAGAGAATATAGCCTGGTCATATGCCTCATCAATACAGTCATATGATATCTTTGGTGATGCAGTGGTGTTTGATACAACACACCGCCTAACTGCATTTGACATGCCATTGGGTATATGGGTTGGAATGAATAATTATGGAATGCCTTGCTTTTTTGGCTGTGTGCTTCTACGAGAAGAAAACTTGAGGTCATATTCTTGGGCATTGAAGGTAGTGTGAAGAGGTTTTTTCCATCTACATGACGCTTTTATTTCTGTATTTTTTTATGTGAGCTTCTTTATGATCTCTTGTATCTTTATGTTGATAGACTTCATGTGGCTTGACGAAAATAAAGGAATGGATGGAGAGAAAACTTGTTAACTTATGTTGTGTAGCCAACACATCAATAAGGTGGCCTCTAGGATCTGGTTGATCTGCCAGATCATCATAATGTTGGCCAATTAAGCTAAAATTAATTTTGATGCATAATGCTTCTTGTTAAGTAATCCTCTCCCTGTAAATTTGTTCAATTAATCCCTCCATTTCTTATTATAAGTCATATATACCTACTTCACACACACACCAAGGCAATCATTAGAAGTTAGTTAGTGTATGAAAAACCTTACAATTTTTCCAAATTTGCCTTCATTAAATACACTTGACTCTCCCACTCCTTATTAGTTGGTGTATTGCAAAGGTCAACCAAACCCAACTTCCCATGCATTGGGAACAAAACATATTAGTGGGTTAACAAAACCATGAGTCCAGTAAATTTTAAATCTTATGGGTCTTTCATGTAAAAATGTATTAATTACTCTTAAAAGTTACTGAAATGACTTGTATTTGGAACAGAGTCTCCTTCAAGAGTATGACTTATTATAGGGAATGGAGGGAGTATCTTATAATCCTTTGGTTTCCTTTGCCAGTCATCTAAATGGGCAAGGCATGTTAATTATTGATGATAAGTTATTTAATTTTCTTTCATTTCCCCCTTATTTGTGGAATCTGTATGTCATGGATGCATTTAATTTTTAAAAAGTTCAATGGCTCTACGATTCACTTAGGGGGTTTTCTTTTGCTTTCTTTGTTTCATCGTCTTCTTGGAAGGCTTTCTTAGGGTTTATGAATGGGAAGCCTCCACAGACAATATTAACGGACCAAAACATGTGTCTCAAAGAAGCATTAGCCATGGAAATGCCAGCAACTAAACATGCTCTCTGCATATGGATGATTGTAGCAAAATTCCCTTCTTGGTTTAGTGCTGTTCTAGGAGAACGTTACAATGAGTGGAAGGCTGAATTTTATAGACTTTACAATCTTGAGTCAGTTGAGGATTTTGAGCTAGGTTGGAGGGATATGGTCAGTTCTTTTGCGCTGCATGCCAGTAGACACATTGCTAATTTATATACTTTACGCACGCTCTGGGCATTGCCATTCCTGAGAAGCCATTTTTTTGCGGGAATGACTACAACCGGTCAATCAAAGTCAATTAATGCTTTCATTCAACGATTTCTGAGTGCACAGACTCGGCTCGCACACTTTGTTGAGCAGGTACTCTCTCTCTCTCTCTCTCTCTCTAGAAATTGTTAAATTGTTCTCTCTGTAAATTCCTTATTTAGAAGTAAATTTGGATAGAGCACAATGACGTCATTCAATCCGTGTAGTGGACCTCACCTAATAGGATAAGGTTTGTTGCTGTTGTAGAAGATGTTCATTATACTCAACAGTATGTTCCACCCTATATTTTGAAAGACGTAAAACATTATCTTAATGTTCACTTTGGCTTTCACAATCAGGTAGCTGTTGCTGTGGATTTCAAAGATCAAACTGGAGAACAACAAACAATGCAACAGAACCTCCAAAATATTTGCCTCAAAACTGGAGCTCCTATGGAGTCACATGCTGCCGCAATCCTCACTCCTTTTGCCTTTTCAAAGCTTCAGGAACAACTTGTGTTGGCTGCTCATTATGCATCTTTTCCATTGGAAGATGGTTTCCTTGTGAGGCACCATACAAAAGCCGAGGGTGGTCGCAGAGTGTATTGGGCTCCTAGGGAAGGAATGATAAGTTGCAGCTGCCACCAGTTTGAGTTCTCTGGAATTCTCTGCAGGCATGCTCTTAGAGTTCTTTCAACAGGAAATTGTTTTCAGATCCCAGATAGATATCTTCCTTCTCGTTGGCGTCGAATCAGCTTGACCTCTGCTAAGACTCCTCATAGCACACCGAAGGATCATGCTGAAAGAGTACAATTATTACAAAATATGGTTTCTGCTCTTATCACAGAATCTGCCAAGTCAAAGGAAAGATTGGATCTTGCTACAGAACAAGTTTCCCTCCTCCTATCTCGAATAAGGGAGCAACCTGTTCCGTTACAAGGTGTCAGAGATATTTCTGGCATTGGTAGGAGTGTTTGACAATGGGTTGTAGCGTATGGTAGAATTGGCGGTCTGTGATTTAGTAAGGGAAGAAAAGTAAAATGCGGATGATGGGGTTCGAACTTTGTAGTGCTAGATTGAAGCTTAAAAATGACCCTTTTTTTATTTGTGAAGGGAAAAGAAGGAGCTATTTGTGGGTGGAAGTTATTCCGGCGTGACAGTTTGTAGATTGGTAAAAAGGCGAAGTTGCTATTCCAATGGGCATGCAAGGTTCCATCCTTCCTACATATTGTTCCGATGCAATGTTTTAAAGGATCCTATCGTGTATAAATGTATAGAATCTTGTTCATTCTTATACTTGTCTTATGATTCATGTAATTTGTTTTTTATTTTGCATAAAGTAAAATTTAGATAGGTTTCACTAGCCTGAGCCAGCCTTTCATTAGATATTGGTCTGGTCTTGTGTGCTAGGAAAGTTCAGAGTATGCTGCTCGCCTCTTTTGGACTCGATTTTTTTTTTTTGGCCGGTCCCTATCTTTTGAGTAAATTGTTTGGAGTTTCCGAGGAACATTTGATGTGTTCTCGAACTCTGGAGGTCTTCCTCTAGACAAAATTTTGATGAAGAGTTTGGTAGGAGGTAAAAAAGAGGCAAAAGCATTGTGTAATTATGTGTATTAGGTTCTCCCTCTCCGGGTCTATATCTAAGAGAAAATAATTGTATCATCCAGTTTAGAAAAATTAGTTGATAATTAATTATAATAATTGTGTTTGAAAATAAAAAAACTAGATTAAAATACTTATATATTTAATCAAAATAAGATTGCATTAATTGTTTCTCATGAATGATAATTATGAGTTTATGAGGAGTAATCTAGGAAAGTGCAGTAATTGCATCTTAAGATATGTGCTTTTTTTTTTTTTTTTGAGCAAAAGAGATACGTGATTTAAAACAAAACAAAAGATAATAAAGCTTTTAGTCATTTTTGCATGAATTGTCAAATCAGTTCTTTAAGTTTAATTTCTATCACTTCAGTCCTTAATGTTGTATATACTTATCTAGAAAGTTCTTAATGTTATGTGAGAAATTAACACAGTTAAATTTCACTGATACGGCTAATGGAATGATGATGTGGTAGCCATGTATATTAATATTGTGTAAAGCAAGAATGTTGACTGGGATAAGACTAAAAAAAAAAAAAAGGAAAATGCTTAGTATTTTAAAAATTACAAAACCAAACGTGGTGTCACCAATGTCCATGTCCATCGTCTGCTAGGGCAGGAAGAAAAAGAAGGAGAAGAGTGTTCGCACGAAAATCTCTTGCCATCGTCTCGCTTTGCTAATAACCCCACATCATTCAATGTTCACCATTATCGTCCCACACCTCAGGTTGTTGTACATTGTTGTTAATCCCAGATAATGTAGAGTTGTGGCGACGTGTGCAAGTGTCCTTCACCATAGCATCATGCAAAATCATTTTCCCCCTCTGGAACTTTTAATTGTCCTAATAAAAAATTATAAAGTATAAATTGCAATTTAAAAAATAGGAAATAACAAATTAATACACACCAGCAGTTAGAAAATGAAAATTTACTTATGTGTGTTAATTTATTGAAGTATATGTTCCACATCAACAATTTAATTTACATGTCAACTTATTTTGAGGGTTAATTTGTTTTAAAAAACTTCATGGACTAACTTAATAGCGAGTGCAAACATTAATAACTAAAATGATAAAAATTAAACTTAAAGAATTAAATTGATAACTCATACAAATATAAAGAACTAAAAGTTGTATTATTTCAAAAAAAAAAAAAAACAATAAATGACAGTTTCTCTAACATGTAAAAGTGGAGAGGGTATGACAAAATATGATATATATCATATGGAAATTTTTAAAATGTTAGGTTATGGGTATGAAGAGTGTGTGTATATCTGACTATTTAAGTAATTTTTAATTTATATAAACAACAAATTAAAACATTGAAAAATTAAAATTAAATATCATAAAAATTATAGCTTAACCCTTGGTTTAGATGGGAAAAAATAGGAAGGAAAATTAAGAGAAAAAATTTAAAAAAAATAGTAAAAAAGTTTACTATTTTTTGAAAATATCTTCTCCTAATTTTTTTCTTTTCCATATTTTTTTTCTCACTTTTCTTTTCACCAAAACTAGGTCAAAGTGTTTCTTAAGTGCAAGGTTAGGGTTTGATCCTTTGTATGTGTGGTGTGTGCTAAAGTCTTGGAAATCAATTCTTCTATATTTTAAAGCTTGGAAATCAAATGGCAATTTTTACCTCTAAAGTCTCGGTGCTCACATCGTTCACCACTTTTAATAAATGGAATCTGTAACATCTCAGATTGATCAAGCTTTCAATATTAGAAGATATAAAATTCACTTGGCTAACTCAAATATCAAGGACCTCAAGAAATTGAAGCAATGCTATTTCAAGTGGCAAGTCACTTAGGTGCTTGCAAGAATTTAAATAGAAACCCCCTCAGTCTGGTTAAGTTCAACGGTGATGGTGGAAGCTTTGCGATGGCAGTACCTTGAAAATCTAATAAAAGAAGATTGCTCTTATTTTCGAAACAGAAAAAAAAAAAAACAGTGGAATTGCGAATAACTTTGAATTCTTTTACAGAAGTAGTGTCTCAAGCATATTGCTATCTTGACTTGGGGGTAAATTATGCAGTTTGGTACCTACCATCGATACCCATTTAGCCTTCCCCCAATTATGCAATGAAGGGGGATCCTGAGATTCTTCATTATTGTAGACATAGGAACTATATTGGGAATGCCTAGATAATATATGAGAAGCAAGTTGTCTCATACAACCATTCATGGTGACATACAACATCTGTCCTCCTTTCTCCAATAAAGATAAATTGATAAGATCTCCGATTACCATATGACCACTGTCACGTGCCTTTTGGTACCTTCTAGTTTCATTAACATCACCAAGAAAACCTTGAGCAGTCCAACACTACCAAATAATCAGTGTAAACCTTACTATCTGCAGGGTATAATGAAGTGTATAAAAAGCATTTTTGTTGTTTATCTTTTAGTTGACCATAACAAAACTCAAGAAATGAGTACAAGTCTTCTAACCCATCATTTTGATGCTCTCTCCATTGTTTGTCAAGATCTTCCAATGCTACCCTCCAACTTGGAGTATATTTTTCAATTTAAAAGATCTTGCAATCTTATGTATAAGAAGTAGAAGGTGAGATGTCATGGGGCCATTACTCTATCCTAAAAAGGTAGCTCAGTTAGGTGTGCAACGTACTTGTTTATATAGCTAGAAACCCTTCTCAAGTTCTTCTGATATGGGACATAATAACTCTCTCAACTAATTTGTAATGCCTCAAATTGGGCAAATGTCGGTCCGGCTTTCATACCAATTTGTCACAGGATTATTACTCTCTCCCAGAAAGCTAGTTTAGTGGATTATGCAATGCACCCATCTATATGGTCAAAATCCTTCCCAAGTCCCTCTAATGTGGAATATAATAGCTCCCCCTGCAAATCCATGACGTCCTCATCATGAGTGGTCTACCAAAGGGGCCCATTGAATGGGCAAATTCGGGTCCGGTTCTGATACTATTTTGTCCTAAGATCATTACTTTTCCCCTAAAAAACTAGTTCAATAGGTATACAGTACACCCATTTATATAGCTAGGGCATTCTCAAAATCCCTTCAATGTAGAGTTGGGAAACGGGCGGGCTCGGCCCTTATAAAGGGCTAGGCCCATAAAGGCCTGAGCCCTTAAGCCCAATTTCCCATTTTTTATTCATTTTTTGAAGCTTGGCCCTTATTTGAAGGGCTCAAAGGCGGGCCTGTAAGGTTTATTTTGAAAAAATTTAGAAAAAATTTTAACACTAGAAATTAAGTAAATTAGTTTAAAATTTTAAAAAATCAAAATCCTCATAATCTTTTAGAAATTAAACAACACACATTTAAAAGTCTAGTAAGAAAATTCAAATCCTGATTTAAAAAATAGTTCATTTTTTTATAAATACACAAACATAATAATTATAGAAAAATAAAAAATATCAGAAATTTTATACCATACATTGATATTTATTAAATTATATTAAATTAATTTTAGAATAAATTAAAATTAATAATAATGTAATGCGTGTAGGATTAGGGCTTCAAGCGAGCAGGTTCTTCTTGACTTTGAATGCATGTTCCACTAAAGAAAAAAATTAATAATAATATAACAGGGCTTGAAGGTCACCCAAGCTCGAGTCTTTTTCTACAGGGCTAGGTTCTCAAGCCCGATTACTTTAAAAAAAATTTAATTTTCAAAGCTCAAACTCTTTTTAAATAGGGCTTCCAAACTCGATTCTTCAGGCCCGGCCCTTATTCCTAGCTCTACTCCGATGTAAGATGTAACAACTCCTTCAGGCAACCCGTGATGCCCTCATCATATTTGGTTAATGGGAGGGCCTACCGAATGGATAAACCTGAGTCCAACTCTGATACCATGTTGTCATAGCCTTGAAACTCTCCTTTCCTTAAACTGTGTTGGCCTTAGCTTGATCGATGTCTTAATCTTGGCTAAGTCAGCCGAATTCTTAAAATGTTGGCAAAGAGGTTTAGAACGGAAGAGAGTACAGAGTTTGACTAAGTGAACATGAGAGCTTTACAACTTTTCTTGATAGTTGCAAATGAGAGGTGTGGGGATATTTATAGACTCTCTCCTTATTCTAAAACTTTCCCACCTCTTTAATAAACGGTAGAGATTAATTCAATTCTGTGGTAAACATTGATTCTCCAGAATATTTTAAATAAATATCTATAAGAAATATCTAGATATTTACAAGGATGTTTCTAGAGAGACTAACTTCGTGAAACATTCTAGAATATCCTATAGAATTTTAAACATATCCACATTCTTCTATAAGTTTCTATAAACTTCTAGATCCTTTTAGATTTCTCCATATATTTTGAGATTGTCCTAAATGTTTTTAGAATAATTTAAAATATACTAGATTCTTCTTGAAGCTCCTAAACTCTCCTAGTATTCTCTACATTATCTTAGAGGTCGCTAAAAGCTCTTTAACCTTGTAGGTTCTCTTCTTTCTAAACATAAGTTGTGATAGAGAGCACCTATTACACACATGTCGAGCAATGCACATGATGCCAAAGTGATCAATTACAAAACTAGCAACATCTTGAAACATCTCCCATGCTTCATCATGTTGTACTTGTTCCACTTCAATCAACCTATTCATGTTCTTTGCATTACAAACCTGAAGAAACTGTGAGGCCATGGCTAACTTCTATTTTCATTACTTGAGATTCCAAGTTGTTGCAAGTTAATGAAGTCCACAACCCTATTAGGATCAACATAAACTTGTTTCACATAAATCTTCATGTATTCTTCTTGCAACTTCATCAAAGGATCCGTTGACAACTTTGATACCTACCTTTAATCGATTTGCAATTAATTGTTGAAGTTTCTTATTTTTCTTATCATTCTGATCTGTTGAAAGTATGATAAAAATAACAATATTAAATAGTTGAGAAGCCTCTTCATTGTTGTTTAGATTCTGCATTATGATGATTTTACCCACGAATACATTTATTACACATTTTTCTAGGTCAATTAGAGCCATTTATAATGTTTTATTAGCTCAAAACACACACATATTGCATTAGAATTGAAATTTTATCAAGTGTTCTAGATTTTGTGCACTGGGGGTATTTAAGTTCAAAAATTAAACTTTTAAAAAAATGTAAAAGAAAAATTATAAAAAATGTATTTTAAGTGTAGAAGAAGAGTGGTTAAATTGTATTTTATAAATTTATTTTAATTTGGGAGTAACTAAATAAAAGTGAACAGTTTTCATTGACTTTCTTAAATGTGCTCATTTGACTTAGTTTTGGTTTGCATTCGTGTGAGAATTTTTGTATGATTTTGTGCACCTAAAGACTTGAATATTTTAATAAATTTTCCTTTCTAAATATGAATTTAATTCTATACTTTAATTAAATTTTATGATGTCACATATTATTAAATTGAATTATGTGTATTTTGTGACAAAGGTGACATATGACTTGTGCATCAATTAGACAAATGTGTCAATGCAATGAAGGAGCCAAATCTGATCATTTTGGAAGTGCATGGGCTGCCATTGGGGTGAAATAAATCTACTTAAAATGTGGATGAAGTATAGGACTAACTTGACACATTAGAATCATCTACAAGCTAATAGAAGAGTGCCACCTAGCAAGCTTATTCCATGTGACTTGGTCCCATTTGCATTTTAAGCTTGTTTTCTTTTATTTTTAATATTTGGATCTGCTGAAGCAAACCATTCACACACATCATTCATTCATTTTTTGAGATTCACTCACAATTACATTTCATTTATCTCTTCCATTTTCTTTCTCTTGTTCTTGAGTATTCTTCATTTTCTCTCTTCTCCTTCACACATCCAGCCCTAAACTCTTCACTTTTTGCCATCAAATCCACAAGATTCCTCAACCATTCTCTTCCCCTCACTTGGTCGAACATGTCCCTTTCACTTGCAAAAAAATTTAAAGCTTGAATCCACCATTTTCATGGAACTCAACTTGCTATGTCATACTCTTAGGAGAGCAAGATGATGATGATGCTTTCTAGCTTAATTCTCAATGGAATCCCAATAAGAAGTTGATGGAAGAGGAGCATTGAAGATTATGTTTGGCTAAACTCATCCTAATCCTCATCTTGTTTTATTTTAATTTGTAGACTATGATTATTGTTGATTTGTAGTTCATTTTAACTTTAGTATCATAGTTGTTTGTGAATGATTGTATTAAAACAAGATTGTTGAATTGAAATCAGAAAAATATGACGTTAAATTGTAAACAAACACTTATTTAAAGCGAATATACACTTGTAATTCAATAAGAAAACTCATAGCAAAGATATAAATACTGCATTAAAGTTTCTTTTCCCCTAAAATAAATCACAGAGACAAATTGTAGATATAATTTGTAAAAGTGAGTAGAATCAAACTAAGTCCAATTCCAATAGATTCAAATATTCTTTAACTTTGAAGTTACAGTTTTTTTTAATTACATTAAAAAATTAAAGTTTCAATCAATATTTTTTGAAAATTATAAAATAGTTACCAACCTCTCTATTTTAGTCCGGAGGGAGCACTTTAAAATTCAATAAAGCATGAATAATTTTTGAATTCTAGTACATTCTTGACACTTTTTTTCCTTTGTTAAAAAATATAAAATATTATTAATTAAATGAAAATTCTATAAAATAGTTAATTATTTTTAAGTTAATATTATCTTTTAATATATCTTTATTTAATAGAATATTTTATATAAAATATAAATATAAAATTATTTATTAAAACTATTTTTAAAAAACTATATTAATTTTTTTTGCCAAAAAAATATTAATTACACCTTCAAACGTTGAAATTATGTCACATTTCCCGAGGGAGGTAGTATACCACAATATTAGGTTGGGGGAATCATAGAACAAAATGCTAGAAAGAGTGATTGAATCTAAAAGTCTCTGTGCATCAAATCATTGTGGGGGAAGATTTGTGAAGACAAGATGAAAGCCATATATAAGGGGAGTTTTTTTTTTTTTTTGGGTCAACGATAAGAAGAAAATTAGATCTACAGAAACGAATCTAGCAAGTTCAATTCTGTTGCTGAAAAGCGCACAAACTTCTGAGAGTTGCAAGAATATGTATATGAGAGAAGAAAAAAGAAGGAAGAATTATGAGCAAACCTGAATCAAACGGAGATGCAGATACTTGTTGAGAAATGCTCTTCTGCAAAGTCTTAATTCTCCGATTCTAGCGAAGTGGTTTACTCGACTTATTTCCAGAAATGAAAACCCGACTGCAACTCAGGCTCACAGCTTTGGCAGTGCAGCGCGTTGCCTTGCGTTCGTTTATTTCTTCTCCGACGCCTTCTCTCTGTCTGTCCCTGTTATTTGTCCTTATCAATCATTGTTGTATTTTTTTTTTAAGTTGGAACAATTTAATTTTTGATCAATTTATCAATTTTTTATAAAAATCCTTTTCCCTATGCTTATCAAATTTATCAATTTATTTTAAATTTTTTATTCGACTTTTTTTGAAAAATTGTGATGCAAAGTTCAATATTTTTTTCTGAAAAATCAAATTAAGAATTTTTATTTATCAATGTATTTTATATTTTTAATCTAAATATTTTTTTATAATTATCAAATTAATCATAAAAATATATACAATAAAACTCATTTTTATTTTTGTGATTATACATCTCAACTAGTTTTTCAATTAAATCATTTAAATAAATTTTAATTTATTCTTTGTCCAAACAAAAATTAATAATCTCAACTAGTTTTAATTTGTTCATTTAAGGATTTTTTTTTTTTAAATCCAAACACAGCATTAGTCTATCCAAAGTGAACCACTGAGCTTTTGGAGAAGACGCGTCACCTGCTTTTCTTGCCTGCTTTTGTTTTATTGTTTGTTTGTTGGACTTGTTCTGTTTTGATTATGTATTTAAAGTTTATTTTTTTCATGTTGTAGCAGCCATCTAAAGCATAGATCATATTGAAGTCTTGATTGGTGTTGTCATTATATCCTTTCATTCTGTCATGTATTGCTAATTGGAAAAATAACAGTTACATTTCAAGAAAACTAATTAATTTAAATTAAATTTTAATTAATTTCAAAGTGTCAACAAACTGCCTGTTTGGATAAGGCAGAAAATTGATTTTCTAGGTGATAATTGATTTTGAAATAAAAATTAGCCAAACACCAGATTTTTTAATTAATCGATTAAGAAGTCCATAATCGTGCTTTGGCATAATTTGAAAATTCCAGCTTCTTCAAGTAAAAGAATAGAAGAAAGACACGTGGCACCGCTGGGACGACTTGCTTCTCAAACGGGGGAGATCTCCTTTGTCCTTTGGTACTCTCTTGGCCTCGTCATATTCGATGGAGACATCACCCCCTAGGCCACGTTGCCTTCGACGCGACCCCAAGCTTCCAAAGTCTCTCGCAACAGCTATTCTCCAACGAATCACAAGATATTAACATGGAATGATCCAAGCCTAAATTGAGACATTAAAAGTCCACTAAGTGTGCATTTAGTTTTTAATTTATTAAAAATTTATTTGGTAAAAATTACTCTAGTAAAAGTGAATTATTATAATAAAATTTATATTTGAATATATTTTTTAAAAATCAGTTTGATATATTGAAAATTGTTTGATTTATGAAAGTGAAATGTGCTTTTGAATGTACAATTATCAAAAAAGATATTAATTTATATTGATTTATAATTTTTATTATATAAATATAATATATTTGAAATATTTAAAAAATATAATAAAAACTTTAAATAACATAAATTTTGATCTATAATGCTAAAAATTTGATCTCTAGTTATTTGTATTTTTTAATTTGTAATTTTAAAAGATGTAATAAAGATTTGTAATTTTTATTATACATTAATGATAAAAATTTACATAATTAATTACTCAATTTATAATACTAAAAAAATTGATACCTAATTATTATTATTAAAATAATAATTATATTTTTAATGAATTAACTATTTTTTAAATAAAAGAATAAGAGATTAAACTTAGGGTAGTATGGTCAAATAACATCTTACTTTTTAAATTTACTTTTCAAAAACTTCAAATAGTTATGTTTTAGAAATTCACTTTCAGCTACTGTTTGAATATACTTTCAGGATATATTTTTTTGTAAAATATTTTACACAAATAATTTTTAATTTTTTAAAAATAAAATTTTATTTTTTGAACGTGAAATGGAAGAAAACCAGAGATACTAAATCTTGTTTGAATAAAAAAGAAAAGTGAATAGACGTTGGAGGAGAATGGACGTTTTGAACAAAACTATTGGACAGAGCTTTTCAACTAGCGTTCAGCATTGGGGGTGGACGTTGGAAGCTTTTAATAGGTTTTTATCAATTTTCTCTCTCTTCATTATCTTTCAAAGTAAGGGTATTCATAGGATAGAATAAGACGGGATCGAGATACTCCCGTTCTGTGTCCCATCCCGAAAAAAGATCAAAATTAAATTTTGATCTCGTGTCCTGTTAGAAGTCGGCACGGGACTGGGATAAGATCGAGACATCTTGTCGTCCTGAATGGGATAATATAGGAGAAAGATTTGGATAATAACGTTCATTAAAATTTTAAATCATATAATTTATTAAGTTTAAAATCAAAACAATACAAGTACATAAATCACAACAATTTAAAGTCAATTATTGAATTATATTAATCACAACAACACATTATAATAGCAAATATAAGTGATCTTTATGCTACAAGAGTAGCAATAACAGGCAAGTCTAGCATAACATCAAATCAATGTTCTTCTAATTTAGTGTAGATTTACTAGGCTAATTATTTTTCTAAAAATAAAGTAAGAAATACGTTATAAATAAAAGTTATTAAATAGATAGATGTAAGAATAAATTATATTAATATAATTAATATATTATAAAGAAAGATACCATCATGTTTACTCCATGTTATTAAAATTATCAATATTAAAAAAATTTAGTTTTAAATAAGAATTACAAGTATTGAAATTATAATTGATATAATTAATATAAGTATAAATTATATTAATATAATTAATATATTTAAAATAAAAAATAATATATATAATATTCAGGACGGGACTTCCCGATAGTAATCCCGTGTCCCGTCCCGAATCCCTTTCTTGTCTCATCTTGATTATTTTTGCGTTAGGACAAGACCCGTGCCAATATGATTGGAATGATACCGAATCAATCGGGACAGGTTCAAGCTGAACACCCCTATTTTGGAGTGCCCAACTTTGCCTTCTTCACCTACTTCTCACTTCACTCATTTGATCAAAGGAGCTTTGGCACAAGTTATTGGATTTTTTACTCTACTTTCATATTATCCTAGGAATTCATTTAATAATTTAGTGTGTGTTTGGTTTTCAATTTATCAAAAGTTCATTTGGTGAAAATCCATTTGGTGAAAATTAATTGTTGTAACGAAATTTGTGTTTGGATATATTTTTTCAAAAGTCAGCTTGATACATTGAAAGTTATTTAGTTTGTGATTGTGAAATGTGCTTTTGAATGTACAATTATCAAAAAGAACATTGATTTATAATAATTTATAATTTTTATTATACAAAAGTAATATATTTAAAATATTTAAAAATATAATAAAGATTTTAAATAACATAAATTTTGATCTATAATGCTAAAAATTTGATCTCTAATTATTTGTATTTTTTAATTTATAATTTTAAAAGATGTAATAAAGATTTGTAATTTTTATTATACATTAATGCTAAATATTAACATGATTAATTACTCAATTTATAATACTAAAAAAATTGATACCTAATTATTATTATTAAAATAATAATTATATTTTTAATGAATTAACTATTTTTTAAATAAAAGAATAAGAGATTAAACTTAGGGTAGTATGATCAAATAACATCCTACTTTTTAAATCTACTTTTCAAAAGCTTCAAATAGTTATATTTCAGAAATCCATTTTCAGCTACTGTTTGAACGTACTTTCAGAATGTGCTTTCCTGTAAAATATTCTATCCAAACAACTTTCAACTTTTTAAAAGTAAAATTTTACTTTCTGAACGTAAAATAGAGGAAAACCAAACAGACCCTTAATATCTGGCCGGTGAATAGTTTATCAGGAAAAGAATGAGATTACTACTTTTTTTTTGGGATATAGGTTGCTTAATTACTAATTTAATTAATTGTGAACAAACCTCATGAATTAATAGTAGGATGTGGGGGGAAAAAAAATTAATAGTGAGAGTATTCCTGCAATTTCTAAATATAAGATAAAATAATCAATTCACCCATTTTTAAAAAGTTGATTGGTTAAGTATAATCATTATATATGGAATTAAAAATTTAGACTAAATTATCTCTATAGTTAATTAAATAAATTTGTATAGTAAAAACATAAGAAAATTTATGTCTGTTTTTGTTATTATAAATTTTAACTGACTTTTAAATTAAATTATTTAAACAAATTTTATTTTGTTCAACTGACTTTTGAAAAAAAGTATTCAAACATAAATTACGTTACAATTACATACTTTTCTTAACCTTAGTTTGCTAATTTTAATTGAATTCTAACCTCAGTTACGAATTTTTTAATTCAAACACACACTTAATCTCATTAATGAATTATTGTTGTAACTCTTTGTTAAAATCAATTTTAAAAAATTAATATTCAAATAGATTGCATTATAATATAATCAATTATAATCAAAATTAATTATATTAATTAATTATTTTTATAATTAACTATACCCAACTGAAATTTAAATGGACAAAAAGTTTCTTGATCCTTTAATGGTAAAATACCAAGTTTAATAGTTTCAGGGATTTATAAATTTGATTCTCAATTTTAAAATTTCATTATAATGAATTTGTAAATTATTTTTTAAATTTTAATAAGGTTAAAAAATAAACAATAAATAATAAATAAATGGATAATCTATTTATTTTATTAATAAGCCCGCTCATACCCTGTTACGTCTATTTTTTCGTCAATATTACCTCCCACATATACATACCAAAAAATTGGAGGTGAAATGGCCTGCGATGATATCAAAGTCAATTGTCCAAGTTGGTTCTACAAGAGCACAAAATGATATTTTTCAAGAGGACATCAGAGAACAACAATATATCAAATATATGCACAATATTGAGGAAGTAAGGTTTTTTTTTTTAATCCTTAGAGCTATTAGACTTTATATTTTTTAACATTAAAGACAAATATTTTTGTTCTATGTTAAAATTTAATAAATAAGTTATAAATATATCACAACAAAATTGTAAATTTTGAAGTTGAACTTCAAATTCCTTGACGTTGTTAGACTTAATAGTTTATTACTAAAGGACTAATGGACTTTGTTTGTAATGTCC